CGTTGCACTGCAAGGACTTTTACTTGAGCGCCTACATTACTTTTGCTTATTGGCTTATCGTCTACGGTCATTATTTTAAAAATAATTACAATTCACGTGAACGCGTTTCATTTTATTGCACTTTCGATCTGCTTATTGATAATCGTCTTGCAGTCGATTTTTACAGACTAAAAAAAATTAAAAATTAAAAACAGCATGCAATGAGTAAACATGTACTATGTATGTACATTAGTCCGTACCATCTTACAAGCAAACAAAAAACAAAACCTTTGCCGTATACCCCTTTGTCTAAACTTTTTTTGAAAGGAAATTTCGATTTTTTTGCCGAAAAAAGGGCACTTCTGTTTACATTCGGCAATATCATTATTTTTTTATTAATTCTGCTGAAATAATAAAAAACTTCCTTAGCAAAAGTTAAATGATTTTTGGACAGCTTTAAGCTTCTGGCATTAGGGTAAGTATTAGAACGGGGTTCTTGAAGCTAATGAACGTGGAACCAAAAATTAATAAAAAATTGTCCCCTTTAGGCCAAAACATCGATATATCTTACTTTAAGATCCGGCTTTAAAAGCCGAAAATATGATGAACGAGTAAATTTTAAGCAAAAAACAAAACCGACTTCAATTCTTATATAAAAATTTAAGATTATCGTTAATTTCTCCATGATCCAATGATCGGATTTAAACCAAATTAGTATGGGACCATCTGTGAGATAACACCTTTCCTCTAAAAAAAGAATCATCGGTTTACGTGGTCCAAAAATATGCCGTAACATACACAAAAAAATAAAAAATAACAAGTAAGAAAGTCTAAGTTCGGGCGGAGCCGAACATTAAATACCCGGCGCAAATATTAAATATATGTTTTTTCACCTTTCCGAAACCTACCGCAGATGGTAAGCCGGGGTATATCAATTTTGAGTAAATTACCGTCCTTCAATTTCGAAATATTGAAATTTCAAGCATTTCTGAAATTTACCGTTATATGAAAAGCGGCCGTAATTTTAATCCGATTTCAATAATTTTCAACGTTTTTCTTTTATGTGCCAAGCACAATAACCACACCGAGTTTGGTACAAATTGGTAGAATGGTTACCGATATACATATATGTGATCATAAGTGGGCGGTGCCCCGCCCTTTTCCAAAATTTTACCATAAACGTATTTCTGGGTAAAGAATTGTTGCAAGCATCAATTTTGAATAAATTAGCTTTAATATTTACTGATTTATCGAAGATTTTGTATTTCTCTAAATTACCGTTATATGGGATGTGGGCGTGGTTATCGTCCAATTTTAAAAATTTTCGGCGATTTTGTATGCTGTGCCAAGGGCAACAACTGTGCCAAGTTTGGAAGAAATTGGTGCAGCGGTTCCTAAGATATACACATGTAACCATAAGTGGGCGTGGCTACGCCCATTTTCCAAAAATTTATAATATTCTTATTTTTCGTCTAAAAATTGTCGTAAATATCAGTTTTTAGTGAATAATCTTCAGTAGTTACTAAAATATCGCACTTTTCGTATTTCCGAAAATTACCGTTATATGGGATGTGGGCGTGGTTATTGTCCGATTTTAAAAATTTTCGGCCATTTGGTATGCTGTGCGAAGACCAAACACTGTGCCAAGTTTGGAAGAAATTGGTGCAGCGGTTCCTAAGATATACACATGTAACCATAAGTGGGCGTGGCTACGCCCATTTTCCAAAAATGTATAATATTCTTATTTTTCGTCAAAAAGTTATTGTAAATATCAATGTTGAGTGAATTATCTTCAGTAGTTACAAAAATATCGCAGTTTTCGTATTTCTGGAAATTACCGTTATATGGGAAGTGGGCGTGGTTACAGTCCGATTTCGCCCATTTTCAATACCAACCTACCTTGGATTAAGGGAAACCTACATACCAAATTTCCTTGAGATATCTCAATTTTTGCTCGAGTTATCGTGTACACGGGCGGACGGACAGACGGACGAACAGACAGACATGGCTTAATCGATTTCTTTTTTCATCCTGATCATTTATGTATACATTTGTCTATATCTATCTCGATTCGTTTTGGCTGTTACAAACAACCGTTATGTGAACAAAATTAATATACCCTTGTGCACAAGTGCGCTCGGGTATAAAAATATTCCGACGAATTAATAACCTTCTCGTCTCGTCTTCGCTTTGCGAAAATACGGTCTAACGTACATATCGCACACCGTCTTCAAAAGGGGCACAACTTTAAATTCCACGTTTGTCAGAAAATGCGAAAAACTATTTCATGATAATCATATGGGCAAGGGAGACGTTTCTTTAGCTTCTTTTTTTAACAAATCGAGTCTCAACCGCCAAAATAACGTAGGAGATTTTTTTTTCTTTTTGATGCAAAAATATTCCTAGAGCATTTAGATGTAGTTCTGCATCAAAAAGAAAATTTTGAAAATAAATATCGCTTACATTATTTTGGCGGTTAAGGCTCAAAATTATAACAAAAATTTGCTCCAGCTTTTTCTGAAAGGTAAACAAAAGCCCTGTGTGTATTTCTAGTGCATAATTTCAAATAAAATAATAGTTAATATGAACCAAATCGGATTACAAATAGGGGTTTTTAAAATACATCGACTCCCGCGCCACCTATAGGATTAGCTCATCTTTCGTATTGCCTTGACATCGGATTCTGAGGCGATTGTGAAGTTTCAAGTCTCTAGGTCATCATCGGGAACTTGGTCAAAAATTGATTGCAAGAATTGCCCCTAACAAACATACATACATATATATACATAGTATATGCATACAGAGCAAGTTAATATTAAAAAGCTTGTAAAATTCCAAATTTTAAGTTGTGCCTCTTTTGTTTATACATATGTATGCACTTGCTGACGAATCTGCTGAAATACGCATTTGTTGTCTTTTTGTTCCTAATTAAGGGGATTTTAGACGATTAAGCTTAAAGCGTTACGGTATTAAAACATTTGAACTAAACCGCACTTGGGATGTCTAAAGTCTCCCTCCTTGACAATTGTACACTGAATATGACTAGTAATTTCTATTACATACAGCCAATCAAGAATGTTTAGGTACAGAGAGATTTTTGCAATATTTTATTTTTCGCGAATTTTTCATAAAAATATAGTTAATTCTACAAATTCTGCAAATTTTCATTGTAATATTGTAGTCTTATATCTCATTGAATTTTGGTATAGCAAAGTGCAAGCTTGAAGTAGCTAGGAATGTGTCGCTAATTAACATATAAAAAAAAAATATCGAATATTATATGGGAAGGCCAGGCTTGCACTTTGTTGTACCAAAATTCAATGGGCTATAAAACTGTAATATTTGATTGTAAATGTGCAGAATTTTCTTTAATTTTGCACAAGGTTTGGAACTCTGATTTTTAGAGGTTTTGTTGTAAAATTAACCATATTTTTATAAAAAACTAGCGGTACCCGGTGTGCTTCTCTACACCCAATATTGAAAAATATTGAAACATGAATGAAAATTCCTGGAATTTTTCTATATGATTTTTTATATATTTTTTTTTAGTATATTGCAGCCATGTTTATACGTGACTTAATTTATCCGAAAAACATCACATCACATCCACAGCACATCATAGCAACAATTTTTCACTATGTTTTCGATTTTTCATGTATCTGCTGTTGTACCATATACGTGGTACATGTGACAGACAAACTGTCATATATCATGAACCGCTGGACCGAATTCGGGCACACGTCGCATAACCCATCTGCATGATAGTCCGAATATACCGTTTAAATTTGGTAGAATTCGTGTTAGAAAACTAGAGAGGTCTTGTAATAAAATCCATGTGCATATATTTTACATATCTTTACACCAAATTTAGTTATAAAACAACTTTCGATTTCTTGAAATCAATAAAAATTACACGAACTTTTACCAACAAGCTAAATTAGGATTTGAGTTGCGTAATTTTTTACTAAATAGTTACATATGTACACAAATTGTATGCATATAGGTTAGGGTGGTCCAAAACTGCATGAGAAAAAAAGTAAAGTGGGAATTTTTATACTATTTAGAGGTCGTTTAAGGCGCTCAACGTGTTCCATGTATTTTATATGGGAAAAAATACTTTTCGTAGAAATGGTATAGCATTCTTGATAATCAATATTTTTCGAGCAGAAAACTCTGCTTCTCTTCACGCGATTGCTAATAATAATACCCAATTATTTATTTGAACATTTTTTCATAGTAACTATATTATAGGTCCGCCAAAACCCCCAGAAAATGTCAGAAAATGCAGTGGGGTGGGAGGATGAGGATAAATAAAAAAGCTTTTAGTATTAAGAAATGTATTGGTATTGTTTTTAGAGGTCTCCTGAATAGAACCAGAGTTTTCCGATCGGGAAATATTGATTTTCAAGAATTCCATACCATTTCTACGAAAGGTTATTTTTTCCATATAAAATACATGAAAAGCATTGATTTTTTGATTTCAAAGTAAAAAATAGAGGTACATTTTTTCCATATAGAACAAACATAGGGGGTGAGAGCATTAAAATTCCGACTTTATTTATTTTAGACTACCCTAATGTACACACATAGTATGTATGTACTTAGTGACCCTAAGCCCATAGAAATTATGCGTCGACCAAAAACTTTTACCTAGTTGGCTACGCAGCACTTTCTTCGCTACGTGCGCATTCCTTATAAGAAAATTGGAATAGAAAATGCATTTTCGTTGAAGTTAAAATCGGCGAAGCAGGCCTACAACGTGGTAAATATGTAAGTAAGTGGCTAAATAAAGTGGCCAAAGAATACAAATTAGACGAGTAATTTAATTGGAATTTAGTTTTATGTTAGTATAGGTATTCATACGCACATATGTATGTAAACATGTATGTACATATGTATTTATGCAATTATAAAAATGCACGAAAAAGCGAATTTGCATTTCCATTTACCTACAGAAATTTGTAAAAAATAAAAATTATGCAAATTGGTTGAATGCATTTTTTTCGACTTTTTGTACTCACCTCTATTTTTCAACTCGCTGATATTTCACGCGGTTTTATTTCCTTTTCGCCAAATTAGTACTTCAAACACTTAAAATTTCGTTCGTCTTTGCAATGTTTTCGTTTTGTTTATTTTCTTTTGTTTTTATTAAACATTTAAATGTTCAGTTCAAATTGAGCTAATAAATACAAGCTTGAAAATAAAAGAAACCGAGAAAAGAACGTGAGCTCCCTTTCAAGCAATTACTAGAGTGTAATTTTTGTTCAAGCATGATAGAACATACTAAGCTTTTGTTAGATTTTGCTAATTGAAGAAAAAAAATACACAATTGGCTCTGACTTCATTTAATGAGTAGGCTCTACGCATTTGCTCAAATTCATGCGATGTATATGTACATATAAAAGTGTCCATATGTAATGGCATTGCTATTGCAAAGCGCCAAAGTTGCTTGTTATTCTGCGCAGGAAACGGCAGCGTTGTCGCGTCAGCTAAAATTATCGTTGCAGTGCGCGCGCAATTGACTTTGAAAATATTGTTTGCAATGTGCTTGTGTTTACTATATATACATATGTACGTGCCTGACTGTATGGCTATTAAAGTATTAGTGCGAGGGGCGGTAGGGTGGCCGTAATGTCACAAAACTTGATTGAGTGCGCATGGGCAAATGCTTTTGCCAGGCATACATAGATTTGTTTGTGTATGGGAGTGTGTGTGTGTGGAAAACATATCAAAAGGTTTTTGACTTATTGCAAGGAAATATTGGAATTGTCAAATTGTTCTGAAAAGATTAATAAACGTAATCAGTTTGTAAATCTGGCGAGTGTAAAGTCATAAACATTTTTATAGTTTTTTAAACATTTGCTGTTTTGTGCAGTCTAATGGCGTATTTCCACCGAACGCTTAACTGCAGTTAACTGAGCTTAGTTCCAAAAATTTTAACATGAGGTGACCGGCAAAGTTTATTTTTTTAATTTTTGCTTTCTTTACTTTCGTTTGTTTGTACTTAATATGAGGGATTATCCCATTCGAGCAGTAATCGTTCTTTCCAATAAGCATAAACTGCAGTTAAGGCTTGGTGGAAATTAACTATAACTCAGTTTTAATGATTTGAGGTAGATGTCTTATGATCGACAGTACACTTTGGCAAAACAGTTTTGATAGAATATGATAACACATAATTTATGATACGAGGGTTGCCTTTTATAATTTGCGACTTTGCAACACTACGTGTGATGACCTGTAATTTGATATTTTTCTTGAAAAGTTTGGTATTTTTTTTAACATAAATCTTAAAAAATTAAAATTTTTCCTTTTTGGTGCTGAATTCCATTTTAAGGCATTTAGTTTTATGTATAGAACGACTACGCTACTGACGTGACTAAAATTTCCCTATTTTACCGACGTGTAGTCTCTCAGACACCGAAAAAAGAATGCGAAAAACTGCAAACACGATATGTCCCCACAATAACTGCATATTATGTAATTATTTTATCTTTGAGTCGTTTTAAAAATCTCTTTGAGTTGTAGCTTCCTATACATTTCTCTGACTTGCTATAGCCCATGCCGGCTCTCCCAATGGGCTCTTAGAAGCTGCCGCTTTTATGATTTCCTTACTGATGCTGCGGGCAAAGCTGCTTCTTCCAGCCTGTAGCTTCCTCGTTATCCACCATACTTTTGCGAAGTGAATAGTGCCCTGTTCCCATAGGGTGTGCATACGTAATTTAATTTCAAATGAAATTGATTAATTTTACAAAAACTGATGATGTTGGTTTTGATTTCCTCCCCTCCATGCTTCATTTACTCTGGCTTTATCGGTGCCATCCTTCATGCGGTTAAAAAGGATCTTCTCAGTGGTCTATTTTATGACCTTGTGTAGTGGTCTCAGGTTGATGATTCCTGGTAATCACTTTTTCATTGAGTTTAAGACGATCCTTTTAAACTATGTCACTACGCTACTTTTATCTGTCCTCCGAAGGATATGATGATTGCGTCTACATGATTTGCCCGTGTGACCTTTGTGACAGCGTACTCTACGTGCTTCCTCCAAAGTACATTGGAATCAAAGATAAGCTCGCGATATTTAACTTCGGAGCACATTCTAACTCTATTCCTACCAGTGTTTTAGAATGAATGCCTGGGAGTTTTCTAGTAGTAGGTTGGCTGTTGTTGCTGGGTTGATATAAACCTCCTGGAAAAGCGGAAAAGGGAAGATATGGGAGGGACCGAAACTATGTATTTATGTATACATAGATAGCTCAAATCTCGATGACAGAATTGGTATTGGTATATAATCTAAGTACATGAGAATGGGAATATACAAGAGCGCAGCAATGTTAGAGTGTGGTGGATACGAATCGCACTCAAAGTCCCGGGACAACCTCAATGGTAGACATGTAATGCATGCAGTCTCTAAAGGAAATAGTTGAGTCATTTCGCACATTGCAAAGCCGACTACCACGCATGACGACTTGTAAAAAGCTACCAGGACGTGTGACAATGGAATGGTTTTACGAAAAATAATGGAATTTACTATTAACAGATTGCCAAATTTTAGTTACAAGTGCCGAAGCAACCCGTTTAAGTCTTGGTAAACTCAACATATGCACTGAAAGCTTTGAGATTACAGGACAGACACGCCCAACTTCTGGACTTAATAAAATTAAGAAAAGAGGAGTTAAGGTGTGTGCCACTGTGGTACATGCGCAGCTACCTAACCTAACTTAAAATTAATAATACGTAACTCCATAATCAGGATATGCAAGAAGATGAAATGAAAATATATTTTTTTATATTAAAAAAACTTAATTTTTAACATAAAACATTTAAGAAATTTTTTAAATCTTCCATCAGTTGAGGACTATGAAAGCATAAACAGACGGCAGCGTTGATCCGGATCAACTCGGGATTTAACTGCAGTTGATCCGGATTAAGTCCGAGTCAATCCGGATCAACGCTGCCCTCTGTTTAAGCTTTAATACACTAGACACCAGAGTAGACTAAGACCGAAATACGTTCCAATTTTTCGAGTCCTAGTTAGATTTTAGCGGAGATTCTGACACACTTTTCGAGGTATGCAGCGCAGATTTACTATAATTGAGTTCTGTGCATTTCTCTTCTCTTCTAAATTTTTTTCCAATAACACATTTCTTATTAGTCAGAAACGGTTAGTCATTCAGATCGAACACAAATTTGAGCTTTTTTTATACCAATGATTTATTATTACATTTCACGCTAACAGTTTCGAAGCTTTTCTGACGCAGTCTATAGCTATAAAGCTCATTTACAATTTTGTATTTTGCGATTAAGCATTAATAAAGAAATTGAATCACTTTTGATTTGTAGTTTTTGAAATTTTCATGTAAACATACATAGGTAAAATTCATAAACCTTGTTTTTAACGTAATTAATTTAAATCCATAAGTTCCCTTTGAAAGCTTAAAAAAAATCATTTGTTTCATCCGCCACAAAAAGTTTAACACAACTGCATGAAATCACTTAAAATAACCACACTCAGAAAGTGGATATTTACGAGTCCACTTTATTTTTAGCGGGCTTACAAGTTTTTCCCCAAACGAAATATTTTAAGAAACGTTAATTTCCGCGCAACCGTGCTTCACGCTTGCGAAATCACCGAGTTCTGTGCGCTGGTTGCTAAAATCTTTGCCTTGTCGTCGTCTTTAACAACAAAAATTCGATCGTATTCTAATCACCGCACAAGCCAATATACAAAAAAAGAATATAACAATCGAAAAATAAAGCATATCGAGCAATCAGCTAACCCACGAGCTTATATTAACACGGAGCGCGGCGCTCCAGGCATTTTAAATTTCAAGTTCACACTCTGATTTGCCATATCGCTGCCTTTATGGCTTTGTTTGGATGTATGTATGTAAAACTCGCAGCGTTGCGCCTGCGCGCAACTCACTCACTTATATATGTATATATGTATTCCTCTTCTTCTTCTTCTTCTCCTTCCTTTTCCGCGCTTAGTCGGCGGCTTAAACAAATTGCGCTCGGTTGTCAGCCTGTCGTTCCGGTATTCACTTTGACGCCCGATGCACAAGGTTCGACTGTTTTCGCTTAACTGATTGGAATTGCATAAAGTATGAATCGGGCTTGACTGATGCGACGGTCACAGAGTCCACCGTGTCGCCACAACTGCCACCCGTTGCTTGTTGCCGACTCTTTTGTATGCGCTCCCTTGTACGTTGTTGTTGTTGTTGTTATTACTTTATTGTCTTTTTGCATATTATTATAATTGTTGTTTTGATATTGTCATTCTTATATACATATGTATGTAGGTATTGCTTGCATGCCCAGGAATCTTCGCACTCAATCTTTTGATATTGGCGCTAACTTCGACGTCGCAATGTAAAGCTGGACAAGCTATACGCTGCTCACGCTTGCCAATAGGGCCATTGCATTACGCATGCGCAAAACGTGTGGCAAAGTTAACGCGTTACGCGAACTTAAGGCGGAGACTAGTTTAGGAACAACATTGTCGCTGTGCTTAGTGAGGAACTCGTACTTGTTGTTTTATTTATTGTGTTTTTTTTTGTTTTACTTTCTTGTTGTTATAGAACTTCTTGTTTGTGTGTGCTTAACAGCTGGAACGTTTTGTCGCTTTTTCTGAGCGCATTCCAATGGGTTTAATGGCACGTACGAATACCTTTAGAAATGAACTAAATGTGCCTAGCCTCAGCAGCGTGTATGCTACGATATTATTCTCCGTGTCACTAATACTTAGCTCCACAGAGGTGGCACCAGTCTATTGAACTAGTATTAACGAAAATTTATATTAATGGAATTTTACAACTTATCATGCCTGTCCCTTTACATGGGGCACATATCCCTCCTTTTCTGGGCATCTCATGGAATCGGCATGACCTGTTTACGGAAATTAAGACGTAGATACAAAACTATATTTTGCTCAGGTTGAGGAGTACATGCGGCAGGGCTAGAAAGTAAGACGTTTAACAGCTGACATCGTTGTCGAGAGGACTCGAGGAGAAGTCACAGAAACGAAAAAGTGGCTGAGCTCTGCTCTTTTGAGAAGGAGACGAAAATGTATGGGTTTAGAACTCCGAGTCAGCATGGTAAAGATAGTAGCTCCGTGACATGGTAGAATGAAGATAATTTATTATTCACGCTGGGTTAAGAATTGGTTTTTTACTCTCGTGAGGAGAGAGGAGAGAAATTACCTTGATCACCCCAACCCGCTTTCTCGATTCGAACTGATAGGTTTTAAAGTAGTTGCGCTAAAGTCATCATTTTTGCGGACATTCATTAAATGTATACGCCTTTTATAAATGAGCTGGTCTCTAAGCGTATAACATGGGCGATTTGAGTTTCAGGAAACAGAGATATAGGAAGTAGTTGTGTCGCACATAAATTGTTCAAGACGGACACGACCCTTACTGCAAGAAATACCTCCCATGCACCAGGTACACCTACTTCCCCGCACTGGTAAATCAAAAATGAGCTGCAGGGATAGCACATCAAATCTGGCCCAGACTTGACAAAGAAAGGTTCAGCGCCCACAACTCAGGATGCTCGTTGGAATCACCAATGGCCATTGCCAAATGGAAATGGACACAGGAAAAATTGTCTCTTTATAAACGACGAGTACTTTCTCTGCCACAACGTTATCTCCATCAAAACTTTTTCGACAGTCTTTCAAACTTAAGTTCGTCAAGATCTGCGATCTTCAACGTTTTATAAATAAAACCAATTGGTTCCAGCGCGGTTTAGAAGCGCAGTCGATAATGAGCCAAACCGGTTTCATAACGAGCTGTTCGGGTCTTATTAGAAAATCAACTAATAAGAATTTGTTTAAAATTAGTAAATACTTAAGAGGCCTCAAATTTTTAAAATATCCGTTAGGGTTAAAAAAAATAATCCTATTAATTTTAAAAATGTGAAAGTTTGTTCTGTAGCTCTTGCATGCTAAAATGGCTGGCCGTATTTCAATGAAATTTGGCACGCTTATAAACTATGACCTGGATATATTTGAAAGTGGGTTGCCACTTTTTTCAAAAGTTAAAATCAACAATTTATAAGTGTTAGATAAACTGTTACAACAATGTGGGTATCAAACAAAAGAAGTTTAAAAACGATTTAATTCGAAAATATTTTTCATGTGATTTTCGATCTTTTCCTAAACTTAAAATCAATTTAATTAACTATTTAAATTAAATATTTTAGTATGGGTACCAAATGAGAAAGATTTACGACAAATTTACTTCTAAATATTTTTAAAGAGGGTTGCCACCTGTTGAGAAATTCAAATATAATTTACTTTAAAGGTTAAAGGAAATATTTTAATATGGGTATCAAATAGAGAGGGTTAAGAGTTGCCACCCGGCCTGGATCAACATACAGGATATTTTTTGAAGGGGGTTAATACTTTTTCAACTATTTGTTAAGTTAGATGAAATATTACAACAATGTGGGTATCAAACCAATGGTTCAAAAATATTTTTGAAGAGAAAATCAATTTAATTAACAATTTAAATCAAATATTTAGGAATGTGTACCAAATGAGAAAGTATCTAATTTCTTAAAAATTGTCAGGGGTGCAATTGTGGGACAATTGGAATTAAAGGTTGGGGTGCCAGCCATAGTGCTGCTTAACCTAGACGCATCTAGATTGTGCAATGGTACAAAACTATGCATAACGGAGCTGAAAACACATATTGTGCATCATCCCTGGTGGGGTGTCCTTTCGTCACGAGTTAAGAGTTTCAAACAAATCCAAGCATTTTTTTAAAGTTGGTCGCCATTTTGGATCCACCATTTTGAATTTTGAAAATCTGACATCAGATTCATATTCAGCGACCCCAGAAACCCACTGGAAACGTGTTTTAACCCTTGACAATGTTTAAAACGTTCAGTATCAACTGCTTAATTTTCGTTTTTTTTTTTAATTTGATCGCCATATTGGATACGCCATTTTGAATTAAAAAAAATTGACTTCAGATTCGTGATCGGCGACCGCAAAAGCTCTCGAGTGCCGGGTTTCGAACAAATCCAATCATTAAAAAAAAAATATACCGCCATTTTGGATCCGCCATTTTGAATTTCGAAAAACTGACTTCAGATCCCTAATTAGCAACCCCATAAACCCCCTGGTAACAAGTTCCAACCCATGACAATGCGTAAATCGTTCAGTATCAACGTTTAAATTTTACTAGTCTCTTTTCGAGAGCATATTTTCGGGCACTAGGCCCATTCTAACTGCCGAAGATAGGTATGTAATTAAGGGAATGTTCACCAATAATACCAGAGTAATTATATGCAAAAAACAAATTTTTAGCTGCATTTTAACATGTCAAGAAAATAAAAAAATTGAGAACATCAGCGTTTTTATAAAAACCCGACAATGACAGGATCTATTTCAGGTCATGCAGGCAGTCTGATTTAATATCGAGAATTGGCTTCAGATTAAAATATGTATTTCTGCATGAAAAATAAATGAACACGTATTTGTTTAAAATTTCATAGCATTACTTTTTAATTTTTTACGATTTTTTAAGATTTTGTCAAATAATAATTTATGTATCGAGCCCTAACCGCCAAAATAACGTAAGCGACATATTTTTCAAAATTTTGTTTTTGATGCAGAAATATTACTAGAGCATCGAGATACATTTCTGCATCAAAAAGAAAATTTTGAAAAAAATATCGCTTTGGTTTTTTGGCGGTTAGGGTTCGATATACTTTGAAGAATTATGAAGTTTTTACTTCCTTTCTTAGTATCACTAAAGTCATAAACGAAAAAAATATATAGAAATTGAATCAAGAAGTTTTCTTTTTTAAGCAGATAAGGAAATATTGATGGTAAATTTGAACGCCGTACCATACCATTGGGCATTTGCTGAAAATTTGTTTTAAAATATTGGTATTTGGTCCAACCATGACAAAGATTTTGAGATTTTGAAAACAGTTCCAAATCAAACCTCCAATTAAATTTCTGTGTGTTGTACCAAACGATATAGATACTTTCATCCCTTTCTTTAAATGTACAGTGACTTCCACAAGTGTTCACGTGTTGATTTTTCTTAAATATTCACAACGTTTTTCAAGAAAAATTTGTTTAGTTATTTTTCTATAAAAAATATTGTTCAAACTTTAGCTAAAACAATATAAATTTAACATTTCTCTCTCTGATTAATGTGGTTTTGGCTAAAGTTTGGATCATATTTTTATAAAAAATTAAAAAAAATATTAACTTGAAAAACTTGTAAATATTTAAAATTCAACACGTGAACACTTGCGGTAAGTCACTGTTTGTATAAAACGAATGGATTCAAACAAAAAACTGTCACGACTTTTAAAAATATACCAATAGTGTGACCCGGCCTTTAGAAGCCATGTTTTACACTAAGTGTTTCCCCTCATGAAACTTTACGAAACTTGGCAGCAGTTGCTTACTTTTAAATTAGTTATTTATATATTTTATAATGTGTTACATGTATGCACTCACATACATATGTATATACATACATATGCGTAGGTGAAATTATGCATTTGTGCTTTAAATTCGCTTTCAATGCCAACCAAATATTTACACACATAAATAAGTCAGCAATCAAGTACGTTTCGTTTCATAAACTAATTCAAGCCAGCTGTCAAATGATGGCTGATGTGACATTTCAAGTGTCAAAGCATATATTGTAAAAATTACCGCACATTCAATTGTTAAAAACCTAAATAATGTTTACTAAAACACTGTCATAACTCAAAAACGAAA